AAAATAACAACAAAGTATATACACACATATTAACTCCCTTTAATTGTAGCACACATACACCTTTGAAGGCATGACACATACATGCATTACCTTGCTTATTTTATATATATATATATATATACCATATAAGTACATACATAAAATAAACAACATACTTGATTTGATTCTTATTCTGTCGTGTCTATACAGGGGTGGATCCATATATATTTTCTGACAGTCTTTCAAATTATCTTAATTGATCCATCCTCCATTTCTGACCATCTCCCAACAGAAAAAGTTAGATACCCATCAATGTAAACTTGAAATTCTGACTGTCTTCCAGAAGACCTAGAAGACGGCCTCAATCTGCCCCTGTCTATTCCTCAACTGAATGCTTGATCCACCAAAACATGGTAATTTTAACAAGCCCAACTTGAATGTTGTATGCCCTCATATACACGCGCACACAAACATGCCCATATACTCACATACATACACATGGGCAAAAGTTATAAAAACTAAAAAATCCTGAAAATCTAGCTTGCAATTTCTCATTGCATTTAGACCATATGAAAAAAATGATCAAAATAAAGACTGATTACCTAAAATCTGGCATAATCCTGAAAACTTTCAACCACGTAAACACTGAACACACACAGACACAAACAAACTAACATATATGTCAGACATCTGCCACAAACTTCACCTCACCTGTTAAGTGTAGTATTACCAAGTACAGCTGACACCTTGATTTTTATGTACTTCAACCACAACAACATCAACAACAACTATGACAGCACACACTGTATTGCATGTCCCTCTGTGCTTACTGACCACAGTGTACTGACCACAATATGCTGTCCACTGCGAACTGACCACAGAGTAACTCAATCCACAGACACAATGAGACAGGGCAGTCAAGTCTGACGCTCCCCTCACAATATCAACACAAAAAGAAATTCAAGGATCACTTGAAATGCCAGGTCTTTAGGTAGGGAATCACCTTTTGAGCTGCGTTCACTCGGCAAAAATAAAATGGGTCCTGAAATGTGCCATCTAATGTTGTTTAATGGGGTATTTTAGATTTTATTGAACATGAATCAAGCAGTTACCAGCCCAGCAAGAGGCTACCTGATTGCATGGGATGGGGTCTAGCTGTCCTATAGCAGGTTGACTACCACAGTGTAATAAAATCATCTAAGCCATCAGTTTTGTATTTTCCTGTTTGAATACTCCCCAGTTCAAAATATTTTTACTATATAGCTCTAGGTATCCATAGAGGTAAAATTTCTTACTGCCAACAGTTCAAACTTCTTTTCTGGCTAACAATGCCCCTGAGATACAAAGTGAGGGGGAAATGATCCTTACTGTTTAACAATGACTAGCTTTTTTCTATTCTGAATTTTATCATTTTAAGTAAGGTAAGTATCACTGAGATACTTCACTGGGCTGTTCCTAGTCTATCTCACACATTAAGTTCTATACTATTTTCAGTTATTACTTACACCTACCTCCTGGTGCATGACTACTTACTCTTTTTTTTTCTGTGCCAAACTTAAATGAGAATATCAACTCAAAATATAAAAACAATTATATGTAGCTGCAGAGTGGATAAACAGTTCCCATCTCCCTGTTCAACCAATTTACTCACCCAATAACTGCTGGCTTCTTTAATAAGATCCGCTGAAGATTACAGACAAATTTAAATATTGTTTCTATGAATGCTTTATATATACAAATGTTAAGCGTGCCATTGCCAATTTGGGCAGAAGCAGCTGTCTTAGTATCATTGCCAGCTGCCATGTCTTGCTTGATCAGTTGTTAGTTTTATTGAAAAATACTCGATATTTTCAATGCACCTGCTTATCATTTTACTCCACAGGGAGCAGATGGGGACTTTTTTTCAGAAGCCCTTCAACTTAAGATCAAAACAAATATTTACTTTTGGATTTTATCTGTACCTATAAATTTTCAAATAACTGAAAGATTTCCTTGTCAATATGTGAAGAATAAATATTTGGTTTTGCAATTATTGTCAGATTTATTACAATGGCTTTTGATGTAGTCTAGAGGCAAATATGCTTAAAATAATTCATCAAATGTTAATCTAATTAAAATATATTTCTTCCTTTTTTATTTTCTTTCTTGTATAAGAGTCAAAGAAATTAAAACATATTAATAGCTTAACTTGATTTAATAATTTTTGCATCTGTTCACAAATTTAGGTATCTATAATCATGGTTCATTTTTTGAGAGATTTTTAACCTGTTAAGAACATTTCTCAAAGTAACTTGTAGAATATTGAACCTTCTCTCAACATTTTTAAAATTCAGTAATGTTCAACTATCTTCCCTCATCCCAAATGACAGTTCCATTTTAAATTCCATCGGGTCATTCTGTTATGCCATCTCTACCAAAATATGAATAAAAACCATTTGTTTTTGTTTATCATTAACAGAGAAGCAATTCCTGTCAATCAAAGACCCACAAATGACTAACAGTGGTCAATTTTCATGATGCTATCTTCATCACGGAATAAACAGAAAGATTGTCTCATTCATGCCATGCAAGAATTTCATGCCGATTGAAATCAAATCAAGTTATTCCTGCAACAATTTTAGATGATTATAACTTAGACAACGGATGGAGAGACCGTTAATGTTGTTTTTTGTTATTTCAAAATAATTATGGACATTAATTGTGAAAAGGTTTAGGGGAAACAGACATGCCATCTCACCTGCAACATACATATATATATATAGAATATCTCAAAAGCAATGATAAAAAAATAACTAGTGATTTAATAATCCCCTTTTATCTCTTATAAAAATGGCTTTTTTTATTTCATTCACTTTTATTCACTTATATTCCATTACTTTTCCAACATTTGGCCATGTAATTTCTCAAAAACCCTCCCAAAAAAAACATAAAAATGAAATTAAAAATTGAAATTACATCCAATTAAACTGATGTTGTTTCAGCTGATAAACTTACACAATGGTAAACAATACAAAAGTACAAAACACCCCATTTTCTCCTTCAACTTGAAATTCTCTACAGCTCTGCTAAATGGCTCGGTACTTAGATTACAAGTTCTCATTATATTTTTTGTTCATACGCTTCTTTTTCTACTGAACTGGAATTTCTTTCTGGGGCCCACACAGCATCATAAGGCACCTGGCACTACAATATCATTTACACATGTACTAAAACCTCAGCTCACATCACCCTACTACAGTAGAAACATACAAATTCACAAACTCCTGGGGACTATTTTACAAATATAAACATTAGGCTATAGATTAGGCTTTTAGAGCAAAATTTCAATTGGCTTTGACCCAATATAAATCAGTAGTAGTCCAATAAATGAAATTTTGTGGCAGACTGATAATAAGAGAGACAGATAACATGTCAGACCAATACTTGCTTTATTCTTGATGGGTTTATCTTGAATTGAAGTAAAATAAAATATTTGGTCCAGCAGTTTAGACTTATTTATAGGCTAAAGTTCTCTTGTGAAAATGATCCCATGCAATGTTATTTAATATGTACTGACACCCCCCCCCCACAACATCATCTAAATGCAGTGTAGAAAAATAGTACCTCTAGTTCCTGCACTAAAGACTTTGCACATGAACTTAAAAAATTTCACAAAATTTATTGCTGTCTTTTAAAAGAAAGTTCTTTCAAGGTCATCAAAACTAAACAATGGCAGTAATAATAACTAAAAGTAGGCATAATGACGAACAGAAAGTTGACATTCATGAAGACAAATCTAGCTTATGCAGCATCCCAATAAAAAGTCACATAGGCAAATTATTATTAAAGACAATGAGTAATGGATAATAATGTCACAATGTATTAATCAGTTATACATGTTAGATAGTTATTATTTTATTACTAAATATTGCACTTATTATTTTCATACATGGAAAAAAGAATAATAAAAAATAAAAACAAAGAAAACAAGTCCTCCTCCCCTTACAAAGGCACCTGTTACTATATCTCTTAACACAAGTTGTATAAACAATGTGGCAGTTATGTTTTTTATAGGCCTCATTTTTTCTAATCCAACCTGGGGCACCTGCCTGTGTCAATAACATGCCAGGGTATGATATACAACTTTGGAGTAACATGCTACCATGCTACTAGCATTTTCACTTCTGCCAAAGGAACAAGGTTATGTCTTCACATCAGCATTGGTTTTGTCCCTTTGTTTATTGGACAAGATATCTCAAAAACTTTCTGAAGTCTTGGGTAGTCTGTTTAACATTCTAAAGAACTGCTTTTCCAAAGGCATACCATAAAATTCTCTCTAATGAAATCATAAATATGGTGTAGGACATGCATTGATTGCACTATTCAAAACAGGGGCAGTGCACTTTTTTTGTTTTGCAGTGGATGAGATACTAACTTCATCACACTGTGCTAGCTAAGATACTGAGCATCATTATGCTTAGATATATTATACCACATTGTGCTAGTTGAGGTGGTTAATGTGCATCATTGTGTTAGCTAGACAACGAAAGAAAGTTCAAATCTGACTCCCGATATATATATATATATATTTTTTTTTTTTTTTTTTGTGGCGATATAAAATTTTTATAGAAACACTAACCTAAGAAAAATTATGATGGTAAGTACAATCTAAATAAGCATTAGCTTTTTTTTTTTTTGCACACAAACCCCAAAATTCAATCCTCTAAAAAGACTACTTTCAGTTATGGCAAGTATCCATACTTCACAGCTACAGTATTCCCTGTCATGTTTTTATTTACTGTTTGTCTGAGGCCTCAAAGGAGATAAACCTGGCAGCACTTCAAATAGCAAATAAAAAACATCTTGATCTTTAACCTGATGTTTGTGATCAAAAGCAACATAATCTTTTTGAGTTCTTTTCAGTTTATCCACATAAACAAACAAACAAATATTGACAAACAAAATACCAAGAAAATCTATTCCAAAGAATACAGATAAGCAAGCAAACAATTTAAAACTAATTACTGTGATAAGTGACTTACTTCATAACATGTCATCTCAAACACAACAGAGGCTGATCCACATTGAAAACCAGTCAACAGACAAAATTTGTTGGCATGAACTCAGACCTAAGATATGAAAAATTACTTCAAATGTGTAAGCTAAAATAATTGGACACAATTTTTGTTTGGGGCCAGTAGATTTTCCCCAAGACTTAAAACATAAGCCTAAAAATAGATTTGGAACAGATTTGCTATTGGTTAAGTTCATTATTCTCAGCAATCATGACAAAAATTGCCAAGATGCTAGTACTTTACGTCAAGCTTGCCCTACCTGTAAAACACTGCTCCTTGTGGAACTAGTACCATGTCATCCTGGTAGTATATAAAGCCACTCTCTTCTCACAAATACTGGAAATAAAACCAGGAAATACCAAGTTAAAATATTCAGACTGACATCATTTCTAAAGCATTGCAGTGCCAAATTACAGATTTTTTTCAAAAAAAAAAAAAAAAAAGGGGGAAAATGGCAGCACTGGGGAAAATAAATATTTCATTCAAAATATGACAGGAAACATAATTTATCAAAATCATGCACCTCATCTATTCAAGAAGTTCAGTTCATTTAAAATTTGAATAGCTTAAGAAAGATAAAATGACAGACCCCTGTAATCAGTCACATGATTACATGTCTAATTAGGAGGAATGTTATATCCTTCTTTCATCTTATTTCCTCTTAAGATAGTCAGCACTATGGTAATTATTTACACATTCCGAACACCTAAGATTTTCCAATATTTTATTTTTATGATTTAGCCTTTTTAACCTTGCATAAGTAGTAAACTGATTTGAAAAGCATCAGAGACAGCAAAATCAAAATCTAAGAAGCTAAGTAAATGACATGTGCTACAATGCATGCATAAATGCTACTACAAATGCATAAAGCATGTATATATGCAGAAATGCAGCCACCACAATGCAAAAGTCTGCAAATGTGAGGTGCATGCAACTCTCTGTCAGTGCTTTGGGGGTTGAACTTATCAAACTCCGGAATATTTTTCATGCAGGGCAAGTTTTCCTAACCTTTTGCCATGTAACTATTTTTCACTTCCCACCCATTGCATCACGTACATTCTTACATCTTGTTTCCCACCAACAGGAACTTCCTCAAATTTTGACATCTTGTATTGACACTAATTTGAACAAACTTCCAAATACATTTAACTATGTAATTTGATGAAATGTTTAAAACAATGTATTCAAATTAAAGTTTCTTCCTATAAGCTAATTAATCCTTCATTCTTCATCGAGTGATGCTGATAATTAACAAATAGCAAGTCACTACATAAATTAATTTAATTAAAAGGTTTTGATTTTTTTTTTATTTTGTTTTCTTTTTCCATTTTTTTTTTTTTAATAAATGTCCCTGGAGGTCAGACCCTATGTTAACATTGGTATGAGGATTTCCTGGGCTTTATAATACAGCAATTGATTTAAGTTGTTGTTGTTTTAATCTTTTTTATTTTTAATTGGACAAAAGTAGGAAACACTGTGAAACATTATGAACAAAAATTATATATTTGGCAGGAATGGAGATGTTAATCATTTTTTCAAATCTAAAAAAAATGAAAATCTATTGAAAAGGCATTCCAGAAATTTCTAGCGTGGAAGGCACACTGCTCTTTAAAAGTACTTCTGGGCTGGTTTATGTGGCCCACATTAAACAATCCTAATATTTGAGGAAGATCATAATTATGAGTCATTTTCAACTGAGGCACAGTCTTCATGAAAAAAAAAATGTTTTCCAAAGACCATATCTCAGTCATCTTCAATATACTAGCCCAACTCTTCCTTTTCACCTCATCCTTTTGTATATATATTTATTTATTTATTTATTCATTTATTTATTTATAACAGTCAAGAGATTGACAATTAATTAATAGCGTGGCTATTGCATCAGAGTCACCTAAACAGAGTCCCCACACTCATCATGATTGGTAAATAATGGGTCTTATGAAAGGGAGTTACCTCCCCCTCCCTAACTGAATCAACTGGTGTAGAACCAATCAACTGGTGTGAGACAGGAAACTATAACTCAATGTGAAACGGGCCATAGACTTTTTAATGGTTCAAATTCATTGACACCAAGCACATTTTCATGAGATACTCTGATCAACAGTCATAGAGATGTCTCCCAAGCATTGTAAAAGAAACCCTGATTTAAGAGGAGAGTAAATTTATATAAACAACAGATTAGAAGTTGCCGCATGCTACATACTAGATCATGTTACAACTTTAAATCTGGAGCCAATTTGATCAAAAATAAAAATCTAACGTTAGTGTTAATTTTAAGTTAAGGACCTAATTGTTTTTGCTGACTGTCACCCAAGGCAAATCCATAGTAGTATATTAATAAAATGCTGTCTGTTTAATAAATATGCCTGATATTTTAGACCAACTGAAAGGGATTTAATGTTAAGACCAACTTAAATGTGAAGACCAACTTTTGGTCTAATATATGATCATGTGTGAAGCCGCCTCAGTAGTGGAGGCATTCAGACACACACACATCCCACCTTGCCTCCAGCAATGTAGTCAAAAGTTTAACTGCTGTTTTTTACCAGATTAAAGAGGCAAATTCCACACAACAGATTTTCAACACAATATTTTCACATTTAGTAAGTCACTTTATTGTACAAACTAATGCATTGCAGAAATGATGATTATGTATAATAGGAATAGACATTTATTTAAAAAAAAATAAGTATAGCAACAGACAAGTACAGGCTATGCTAAACTTTAAAAGTTAACACTATGAATTAAAATAGCATCATTTCTGCATCTCTGTTCTTGAAATATCACATCCATTCTCAGCAGTAACAAGTTTAAGAATCACTTAAAACTTTTGTTCACCATACTAATTTAAGATAAGATGCAACATACATTACGTTGTTTTTCTTTCAAAAGTTAAGTTCAACCAAGCTCAAAGTCAGAAATACAAACATTCATGAAATATAACTAAAGAAATGTATTTTAAAAACAAAACTTCTTAACAAATCTTTCTAATGAAAGCTGAATTGACAAAAAAAAGTCATATACTAATGAAAAGGGTGTAAGATAATTAAAAGAGACCCCCCCCTGTAATGATCCTAAAAAGTTCTAAAAAGTACCACTTACAAAACCATTAAGTAGCTGTGATTAAATAAATTTTGATTCCCACGACATTAAAAACATCACAATACCATCCAGCTCAATCAATGATTTAGCAGCAAACACTACCTATATGCAATTCAACAAAATTTTAATGAGACCCCCTACCAATCCCTTAGATCCCTTAACTACCAACAGCAAACATTTGTCAGAGTATTTCTAAGTGATTTTAGACCAATTTAACTAGCCAGTTAACCTTCTCATTTCTCTTAGCACCAAGGGTAAACACCAGATAATGAACCATCAACATTTGTTCCTCTAATTTCTTCAAACATTTCATCAGCCAGAACAAACCAAGGGGTAATGAGACCAATAGAAAGCTCTTGTATAACATTACATATCAAGTCAACTAGATTCAACATACCTGCCTTGTTTATACACACTAGGTTAACAATCTTGTCAATAACTACTAAGATTCATTTTGAGGAACCGGGACACACAAGGTTTGAAAATTTTGTAGAGGTTTGACTGATCCTTGTTGCAGCTGAGAGAAGAATTTAACAAACAGATCTCAAATTTAAAACATAAATAAATCTAAAGAGGTAACAATGAAAGTTTGGCCTGTCTACAGGATACAGTAATTATTGTCAATACATACCTGATTGAATGAAAACATTGACTCTCTGATTTGACAACTGTCTTACCCCAGGACTGCTGAACCAAAAACTGGCCCAACATTTTTGAAAAACTAAATGAAAAAACTCATATACTAGTACTTCATCTTTAACTATCATTAAATCTTTTTTTATCTTTTCATTATTAATCATTATACCTGTTTGGATGTCAATTCATTATGCTTTTAAGTGCTTAATCTCCACTTTTCTCAATCTTGAGCACTTCAAATTTCCTCTCCTGTCCTTACACCAGAACATTTTTTTTTTTTTTGAGTGATACACTAATGTTGAAAACAAAACAATCACTGCTCTTCGACACGTCACAATAATTAAAAACTACGGAAACAATTTTTCAAACCTAGTCTCTGACAAATTCACAATACTATCTTGACCGCCCCTGACCTAATGGATAAGATCTTTAATTTAGATGGTTGGTTGCATTAGCTCATGCAGAGACCTTAATAAAGATCCCATCTCTTTTGTGGTAACAGACTGCTCTTGGCGCACAGCTGTCAATCAAGCTGATAGCTGCCACACATAGTTAAGCTGAGAGACTGTCAATAGATTATCTGATCAGAATCTTAAGACAATGTGACAAGCCCAATAATCATCAAAATTGCCACCACAGTGATATGGAGGAGGCCGCTACTCAACTTTTTTCTCCAACTTAAATCTTAAACGTAAACCAGATGACCCTGATTTGTGGAGAGATATTAATTTGCACATTCTAACAAGTTTAAGCACCCGCAACAAAAGTAGTCTTGGATTGCCAAATATTAGGAAATTAAGATGAAGATTAGGAGTAAATCTACTACAGATAGACCTTTCACAAAATCTTGCAATGACGCCTCGTAAGTTATTTTAGAAAGTGTTTTGTTATTTGTGTTTCAATTTCTACAGACTGTAATGTCTGAAGATAAGCCAGTACTAGATTATTAGTTCAAATGAACCAAGCAACTTTACAAAAGGATATGATTGATTTGAAATTAGTGTTTGAGGGCATTTTGAATTTCAAAACTGTATTTACCTTCATTGCCCTTTATCTTCCACTTTTACAGTTTTACATGGGAGTTAAATATTTCAGTTCTGTTAAGATTCATCAATTGTAAGCATGCATATTCAAAGTGAAAACCTTTGATCTTAATTCATCAATTTCTTTGCGAGGGATCTTTACATTCAAGTTCCCCAGTATCTAGGCATTTTAACAAATCTGAACCAAAGAGACTGATCGGGATCAATAAGTTCGGAAACATCTAAAACTTGAACATTTTTGTGGTGGGTAGCATGAAAGTGATGCATGAACCACAAATATGTGACTCAATCAATACCATGCTGACGAGAGTCAGGAGTCCTTCGTGACTTATCTAGAAAAACTCACATCTGAGGCCTTTTTCTCTAGTTATATTTTTGCTTCTGTTATTAAATGAATCAGAGTGCACCATTATAAACAAAAGTTTTGCTTGCTTTTTATGTCTATAATATTCTATCAGCTGTAGAAATATCCTCTCTCTCTCTCTCTCTCTCTCTCTCTCTCTCTCTCTGCCACCCTACATTTCTCCCTTCCCCTCCCTTTTTCTCTCCACTCTC